CGTGCATGTAATGGTAAACGTAGACTTGTACTCGCCACTCGTAGTACTGATTATTGGTCTTTTGCTTTACTCAACGATCCACTCTTCATGGATCTTTGTCAATCCTTAGACCGACTTGATATTGTACTGCTATCCGATCCAGGACAGAGATTGTTCCCTGCAAAGAAGGAAACCGAACGAGGTGAGGAACAGGCGGATTGGAAGATCCCTGGTGAATTGGTCGGGAATCCGGCGAGATTTGCAACAGAGTGTCAAGTGCCAGATGTACGTTGTGTTAATTTTGGCTGCTTGGTCTTATCTGATGGAGAGGAACGCGGGGTAAAGGAGACTCAGCACGAGGTGAGCAAGAGGGTCAAGCATGTCGGGAAAGGCGAGACCAAAATGAACTTTGCAGGGATGGACGAGTATCTATCAGAAGGTGCTCAGGGCTTGACAGCCGTAGAGAGAGAAGCTTGGAGTAGTGTAAAGATTTAAAGGGTGACAAGCTCGTTACTGTAGTTGGATTGATCGTACAATTGCATAAGCATGACAGATACAACAATGATGTATTTTACGATACGGCATTTGTTTGCAAAGGCAACACCAAGTGCGCCCAACACAGCAAGACGATTCCGACGTACAGTAAGATTGTAAGACGAATTACGACAATTGTCCTCGAAAGGCAAGCAACAGCACTGGTCACTGTTCAAGCTCTCACAGGTCAAGATCCTTGGGAGGAATATCCAGTCCTGGCTCAGATAGCACAAACACCTCTAACCACCCTTCGACTTGACCCTTCATTCTGTCGGACGGTTCAGAGGGCAGTGGAGATCTGGACGAGCCTCCATATCCGCAGTACCTATTAACCGCGTACTACAGGACTCCAATCAGCCTTCATCCCCATACTGTATCTCGTCGAGTTCGGAAGGAAACATGAATATAGAAAGAAAAGGAAAAACTAACCCTTATGCCAGTAACACCACCTGCGAAACCTCTTCCTCTACGTCGAATAGCAGTCTTGAGATCGTCTAGGCGTTTTTCACCTCGTGAGACTGCGTCCCATAGCCCTACACCAGTAACAGGAGCGACGTTAGGGATAGGACTGAAGAGCCCGTGGCTTTTATCTGACGTGTAGCCGAGAGATGATGCGATCAGAGGAAAGTCAGGGGGCAGATTCGGCAGTAGGTATTCTGGTGTCAAGGTAGTGGATGGAGGTAGGATCACACCGGAGATGTTTTCAAGGGCAGATAGGCGGGTCAATACTGAGGTACTGATCGTAGGTGGGGCATCGACGATGATTGGAAGAGACACCCAATCACCGATCTGCGTCTGATCAGTATCCAAACAAATATGTCATGGCATGGTATTCCAAGCATCCGCAAGACGCTCGCTCACCTTTGCGAAATATTCCACAATTTCATCCTCCCCCACTTCGTCCGCGTACAGCTTGGGGAATCCAACGACGGCCCACTTGACTCCCAGCTCTTTCGCCTGTCCCAGACGCTCTACGGTCTCCCAGAGGCTCTCCCTAGTACAATCCACAACGAGTTCCACATCGGTATCCTTCAATACCTCTAGTGCTTTCTCGATATGTCCTTTCCGCTCGCCTTGACACGTATGCGCTGCTTCTGCAAAATACGTATTGAGTACAATCGCATGCACCTTTGCCGAGATCATCCTTCCCAAATCAAATCAGCTAAGACATCCCTAGACAGAAGGGATAGGTATGCTATGCTATGGTTCGGCGTGACTAACCGATTCAGATGCCGTTCAAACGTCTCGTAGTCTGGATCCCCATTCCATTCACCCTTCCAGAACGACAATACGGGCACATAGACACCTCTTGGAGGTATCTTGCGAGCAGGAGTAGCTGATTCACTCATAGCTTGTGGTGGAATACAACGCTGAAAATAAAAAATGTACGAGTAAGACCGAGCCAACACATCGGCCGACTCGAACAGATGTCATGGCCGGGTGGCCGGGTATCGTATCGTTCCTGATGGGCGATCTTTCGCCACTCGATCACATTCACAATACCACTCTTCTTACACCTCGTCCTCATAGCATGCATGCGATTCGCATCACGACGAGATTCCGTTCAGCCTAACAGATATGAAGATTCTGCCAGGGAAGCAGGTTGTCAACCAGAAAGACAAGATATGCTCCGTGCCCTTTTACCTGCCTTGGCTTACGTGAGAGAGAAAATGTAATAGAGAATACAAGGTACAGAATGACCATGTATTGCCAATGAATGTCCATCTATCGACTATCGTACACGTATAATTCGGATCATACCACATCTCATAACCTACTTTGCCAACTTGGACTCTCTCAGAGCCCTTTCCTCCATGGCGCGCCACCACTCTACTCTCCTCTCGTATGCGCCAGATCCGGGTCCAGGGGTCGCAACGACCTTGATACCCTCTTCCTGAATATCCGTACCCGTCTTGACTTCTCCTCTCCGCGCAGCTCTGGTCTGTCTACATTCAGTGACCAATTCGTCAAAACCAATGTTTCGCCCTGCGACATGACGTTCCCATCCCCATCTCGCTTTGTACGCTACACCGACTGAACAAGCGTTCCAATCCGCGTCAACCCATCCAGTCTCTGGTGCGTACTCCACGTTCTTGCATACAGGAGCACTGAGCACATCTGACATGAGACTCAAGATGGTTCGATTGGCAGAAGCACCGCCCGTGGCGTAAACGCGGGTCAAGCGAGGAATAGACGATGGTACACCTGGCGATGAAGGGAGGAATGGGGTAGATGAATCGCCTAAGATAGTCGACGATCGTGATCGGTAATTCAATAGTTGAGACTCGAGGATTGCGAGTGCTTCGGCACGTACGTCGGGAAAATCGCTAACAGACTTGGCGGCACTAGCTTCGAAACTTGGCAGAGAGTATTCTTTCGATGGCTTTGAAATGTATTTGAACACCCCATGCGCACCATCAGGCTATGATCACGTCAGTTCAGAAATAAGTTGGGATCTGGGAAACCACAAACGTACAATGATGTCAGGGAGTAACCACCAGAAAGCAGCTCGCATTGGTAAGTCGAAAGGGGCTTTCGGACGCAGCGCTTGGACAGCAGCATTGAAACGCTCCCAGCTCTTGTCAAAGTACCTGTCGCGAACATGTTCCCGAGCGAGCGAGCCATCTACAATCAAGTATGGTCAGCTGTACTGTGTTGTTTCCCCACGATGCCCACTCTTGTACACGAGCATGTTGAAGTATCTCAATCCTGCTTGGCTACTTTCTGCATCTTGAGCGGGGTGGAAGAACGCATGATACTCTTGGTGGGGATTGTATGATGAGGTCGAAACAAGGACAACATCAGATGTACCGAGAGACACCAAACCCTCACTCGGTCGTACTGATATCACATCAGCGAACGAGCCATTGAGTGTGTAAAGGACTCACAAGTCAAGCTGAGGAAGGTTGCTGGATTATCGCCTGTCCCGGGGAACACACAACATTCTGGGTTAAAGCCATAACGCTTCACAAACCACTGTCCGATCTTGCCTACTACTCGACCACCATCACGTTCCACCGTTCCTAATTTCCTGGCCAGTTCTTCCGCACCATCCTTTCCTGCAATAGCAGCTAAGATTCCAGCGTGCCATCCTCGCGCAGGATTGTTCATCGTCCACAGGTTCATACCGCATACATCGCTCTCGTCAATCCCTTTGACCTCGCCATCAAGACACAAGAGCGTCGTGATCGCGCTACTGACCAGACCGATACGGTCTGTTGCGGCGTAAGCCTGTGGCTCGAGTCGTTTGAATCGCATGATCTGGGCACCAGTGAATCGCTCGTAAGCCTTTGACCCCGTGATTTCAGCCAACGCTTCCGGTCCTCCCACTGCCGCTTCAATTGCTCGACATTCAGCCGTTGTCGCTGAATCTTGCCAGTTCGGAATAGTCTCTCTCGAGAAAGCTCCCTGGAGCTGTTCATGAAGTGGTCGAGAAGGATCAACACTGGATAAAATCTTGGACGACTCAGTCGACCAATACACCGAAGCATGTTGCTACCACCAATATTAGTCTCCCAGTAGCAGTGTCATCAAGTAAAGTCAAGTGGATCAGGAAACCATTACTCACCTGTCCAGCAGCGGCGACACCTTTGACTTGACCCAATGGCCATCCCGCAGCCTGCATTCGCTCAAACAACACATCCATAGCTTCAACAGGCAACATCACTGGCGAAAATACCTCGCCGGGCGTACCATAAAGTACTCCTCCCTTCGTCCCATACTGCGGCAAGTCCTTGTCAAAGTTCACAGCTACTTCACGTAGGATATCGAGATCCGCCGAGAGGAGGGAAGCTTTTAACGATTGCGTAGAACAGTCCAGGCCGAGGAATAGCGCTCCCAAAGTTCGGGTCATCCTGGGGTCAAAATTATCTCGATAGAACCGTGCAAATGAAAGCTAACACCAGTCCAACAAAACAATATGAATAGACAAATGTCATCTTCTCATCTCACCGTCATCATCACCACTGACACCCGGGCCGAAGTCGGCGTATCCCATACACCCAAAAAACCCAACGGTTACACGGCAGAATGGGATGATCTCTCCCCCTTTGTCTCGAACAACAGCCAAAACAGGCACAAAATGTTCGGTAGTCAGTCATATCTGCCGATAATCACCCGCAGCCAATATCCGGTCCAGGCCCAGCCGGCTCTTCAACGCTCTCTTTTTTTCGTATCATGAGTATATGCACAGTTTAGCACAGTTTGTATCCATAATAGCCTATACACGATATATGTACTGCAGAGAGAAAGCACTTGACGTATCGCTCGAGATGCAAGCCAGGCGCACAAAAAGAGATTTGGCAGTCGCGCAACGGAATCGAACGGACACAGTCGATAGGGGGCCTCTGTCTCTAGGGGAATGAGAGACGGTTCTCGAGCAGCGTCCGTCTTCTGTATTGATCAATGCAGTATTGATGAGTGAGAACTCCAGCTTGCAAAGGCCAAAAACAAAATAAGGGCAATTTTCTCTGCGCCCAAAAAAGTTAAACGGCCTGAGGGGATCGAACCCCCGACCTACAGATTACTCTGACGACAAACATCGAAGTCTGTCGCGCTACCACTACGCTAAGGCCGCTTTTCATGGTTTGAAGAGGAGCATTATGACTATAATCAGGCTAGTGTCCCTCGCCCCATTTGGTTTCCTCGTCTCACTTTCAGTTCGCTCTGTCTCCCGTTGTGCCTCTTTATATCCTTACTTCATCCCTACTTGTTCTATACGACTGAATCCTTCTCCTTAGCCGTCCATCAAACCCTCACGATAGTCGGTTGCTAGATCCGACCACATAGAACGACGTTCCCAATGCCTTCATCCGAATCTTATCTAGTCGTGGGAGGTTGCGGTTTCCTCGGACGGCATATCGTTGAACAGCTCTTAGCTCGTGGAGAGACGCAAGTGTCGGTGTTTGATATTGTTCAGAGACATTTTGATTCGTGAGTCGTACGTTTGCGAAACCGTATCGCTTATTGTGATAGAAATGTCAACTTCTATATTGGCGATATATCAAAACCTGAGGATGTCGAGAATGCTCTGACAAAGGTATGTCTAGCCCGTTACCTTACCACTTGGCACTTGATCGTTCTTTCGTGTTCTCCCGTACTTGTGTAAGCGCTAATGCAGGCATTCTCTTGTAGTCCGGAGCAACAGCTGTCATTCACACTGCCTCTCCCGCACACAACCTCGGCCGTCAACTGTACGAACTAGTCAACGTTACCGGGACCCGCACCCTACTCGATGCCTGTCTTCCTTCTCCTACCGTCAAGAAATTCGTATACACTAGTTCCGGAGGGGTCATCTTCAACGGCGATCAAGACGTGGTATGCGCCGACGAACGACTCAGGTATCCCGAACGAGCTCTCGATGCTTACAACGAGACCAAAGTGGCTGCCGAAAAGATGGTGATCGCTGCGAATGGTGAACAGCTCCTCACTTGCGCTATCCGACCTGCAGGTATCTTCGGAGAGGGCGACAGGCAAATGATCAATGCCTTTTACGAGGTCGTCAAGAACAATCAGACCAAGTTCCAGATCGGTTATAATGACAATTTGGCAGACTTCACCTATGTCGGTAATGTTGCCCATGCACATCTCCTGGCTGTGGACAAGCTCGGAACGACTTACCCCTACTCGTCTTTCCGCGACCCTCTCGACAGTATCGAGCTTTCCACCGGAGCTTTACGTGTCCCGACTTCTGACGCTCACCCTCTTGGACCCAATACCTCTCCCTCCGAGGCCAGCTTGTTTGCTGCAAGGCGTTACGAAAGCGGCCAACACGATCCCGCTGATCTCCGTCCCGTCCTGCGCAACAGGATGGACCAATTCAACAACGAGGCCAGTCTCGAAGACGAAAGTTCCGATGCGGGTTACCCCATTGCAGGTCAGGTATTCTTCATCACCAACGGAGAGCCTATCTACTTTTGGGACTTTACCCGCTCGGTATGGAAAGGTCTCGGCCATATCCCTCCCTACCGCATCATCCTCCCCGCATTCCTCGGTCTCATTCTCGCGACTCTCGCCGAAGCGTTCTCTAAATTCAGAGGCAAAGAGCCTGGATTCACCAGATTCAGAGTGTCCCAAGCGATCAACAACAGGTACTACGACATTGAACGTGCTAGGCGTTTACTGGGCTACGAACCCATCGTTGGTCTGGTCGAAGGTATGGAAAGGTGGACGTCGTGGTACAGGGGAGAGCTTGCAAAGCAGAGTCAGACGGTCGAATCGGACAAGACAAAGTAACCTGTTATGGCTTTCAGGGTAGTTTTGGAAGGGCAGTATAGGGTCAGGGGGTGGAACGGTTTCGTGCTATGCATCGTGTACTACGTTGTTGCAGCATCACTAGTTCGATGACTCTTTCCAGGTGCGCGTCCTTCCAGTCCACAGTATACTCAGTGGGGAGTGCTGCGCCCGCTACCAGACGACAATCTCTTATCAATGTAATATTGATCGATACACACCCACTTGCAGGTACTCTGACTCCACCGAGGATTTCATGAGTATATTGAGATTATCAAGTGGGAGTAACAGGACTGAGATCTGCTTCACAGACAACGTGTCGATAAATTGAGCTGAGAGGGTGTGATGGAGCCAACGGGATTGCAAAGCCCTATGCAGGTGAGGAATTGGGAATTCCTGTCAGGCGAGCCAGTGGACGCATTTTTTCCCGAGTGAGTACAACCATGCATACCTGTCCAACCACATAGATACCGAAATCTGCTCCCGAGTCCAACAACTCCTATCACTGCCCTATTCAGATACATCTACACCTCGCCCTCTGGTTCCGGATGATATCCCCCTGGACCTCCACCACCACCACCACCATGAGTCCAGACCCGCAAGATCAACCACAGGACGACCACTGCTCCGACAATGTACGCTATCATTCGATATTGCCTGATTGTAGAGTTTGAAGCGATTGAGCGGGAATGATGACGCGAAGTGGAGAATAGAGAGTTTGTGAATGATGAAAATGTGTTTGTCTGATTGTTCCTGTGCTTAGCTAACTACTACCCTTACGATGTCTGTACAACGACATACTGTTCGGTCAAGCTATATTCTATCAGCACAGAAAGTCCAATCTCGAATCGAATGGAATTGGGAATAGACTTAAGACTCACTTGATCATTTTGTCTTCCAGAGTCATCGAGGATGTCAATAGTCACCTATGTGGATTGATTTAGTGGATGGATAGCAAGAAAATAAGCCGACGTACAGATCGTAAAGCCTTGATCTTGCCATGTAATCTATCGAGCTCCTCCTCGTTCTGGTTATCAAGCGTCTGTTCTGTCGCACTATCAAATATCAGTCAAATTGTCTCAAGACTATAGGGAAGGGATCTGAGTGGGGAGAGATAAATGTGGCACAGTGTAACTACAAATGCAACTAACCTTGGCATGTCGAGGTAGCCTACGCGATGGCTGTTGTTGGTCGCCGCGCTTCCAAATTCAAGTTCAAGCAAAGGGGGTTATACGTTTTGAGTAGTAGTAACAAAGGAGGAGCAAAAAGGAGCAGCAAGTGCGATGTATCGTGTAGAGGTACTTTGGATCAATGTCTGTTGATTCTATAGTAAAGTAGCAACAACATGGGAATCTGGTACGCGCGGATACCCCGATCTAAAAGCGTCCAGGCCTTTCGTCTCATCGGTGGCGAATCCAACAAACCTTATGAGGTACATCTATTGTGTCTTTGGATCACGGTCCTATATATGTATCGGCGCCTACATCAACTCCCCATTATCAAATGTATCTATAGCATGCATGTACATCATTGCTCCTTTTGAACTAGTAAGAATAATCCCACCACTCCTAGCAATGCGTATTTGAGTTGAGGGAAGTCGTTCTGGACGAGCATGAGTTCGACACTCAAGACAGACTATCGCGAATGAACTCACCATAGCAATCGTCACATATCCCACATATGGCAAGAACCTATTACAATGTGAGCTACAGCTACTTCGAAAGCTAAATAGGGGCAACTCACCCCCGTACCTTGCCAATCACATGCCGTCGTTCTAGCCATTGCATCCCATTGTATAGTATCAAATCGTCGCCGTCGTTATTATCGCCTTTTGTCAACAAGAGCTGTGTGGTATTTCTATTACAGAATTAGTACCACGTAAAGACAGAGATCACGGAGGAAGTTGCGTACGTAGTATGGGACTGAATAACTCGATGAACGATGGGTATATCTCCGCCTGGTCTAGAACAGGTTAAGCTCTCAATCTACCTGGGCGAACTCGCGAACTGGCTCACATTTTGTACACGGTGATATCTCCCACTTCATAGGGAACATCAGGAGGGTTGACGAGGAACAGGATATCTCCACGGTAAAAGGCTGGTTCCATTGATCCGCTAACGACTCAGAGTCAGCGTCAAGGCTCGGTAGATCTTGAGCGCCTGCCAATATTCCCGAGCTAGCTAGTCCTACTGTCCACCTGCCTGAAGGAACACTCGTGTACTCCACTCCCACAACTTGCCAATTTGAGCGGATTAATATGCCTTTGCCCATTGCAGTCGCCCAGCGCCACAAGAACAAGCAGTCATTGCCTATATGCAAGTCTGATACAAGGCCAGCGAGTCCTAGACGTACGATAAGACCACAACAATGGGACTCTCCGAGTTGGTCACCAAGCACAACCCCTTCCACATCATCAATCCAGAAGTAACGACCGAGAGGAAGTTGAGCGCTTGAAAAAGGAGCTGCACAGAATGAGCTCTGACCTTTTCAGCTTCAGACATCCCCAGCTCACCCCTTGGACTCCTAGCTTTCTCAGACGCGCTATCTCCGAAGAGAGCATGTTGCAACTTGACCGACAGAGGCAATGGTTAGACAGCTGCAAAATGAGTAGGAGACACGAATACAGGCGCGTGGATGTGCCACGTCATGCTGCATCAACGGCTATCACTCCAGCATTGAATAGCATTTACATCGTACGTGCGACTCGGACTTTTCCCACAACGATCTTATTTTCTTACATCTGTAGACACCATGTCTCAAGAACCCGGAACACCTCAAGGCTTCAAGCCGACCAAATCAGGAGCCATGACTCCCGGGGCCATCGCTACCGAATTATCCAACCTTAATCTCCCACCCCCAGCCAACCTTCATCTCAGCCTGTCAAAGCTGAAATCACCAGTCTCTCCCGAGATAACTAGTGCCCTATCGAACACGTCTGTCTTCTCCGACGATACCGGTGATATCTCCGGACCAGAACCAGAAGCAATCACTGAAATGCGACGCAAAGTCCGATCGGAGAGTATGTCAGAGCAGCTAAGCGCTACTTTGAGCAAAATGAAGCTCCCACAGCCTGAACGGATCTTCGGCCCAAATGAAGGCGAGAGCGAGGCTGCAAAGGAGCACAATGGTCAGAAAGAGGGGGTCAGTGCGGAGGATTGGGATAAAATCAAGCTCGACGACGATGTGCCTGAAGCAGTCAAGGAGCCAAAGAGAATGACACATTCCAGAAACACAAGCAGAGCGTAAGTGTCCATATACAATAATTGATGAGCTAATTTTGTAATAGCGATGCCGCTATCCCACCACCTGCACCTGCTTCTGAGCCCTCGAAGCCGTCCGCAACTA